ACACACACACACACAAAGTCCCAGCGAGAGCAGGTACATTTTAAAAATGACGTATACAAGGTTCGTAGAGAGTTCACCCTGCTGAAGATATGCATGAAGATCTACGTGATTGCGACCACTGAGCACGAAATGTCACGTACGCCACAAGTAACGACGTCACCAGCCGTGTACAAAACAAAATCTGCACACCAGAGCTACATTTCCACAGTTCACAAAATCTGGAAAAGTGGCGCTTTACACGACGATTAACACTGGACACCGTTGAAATTAATTGTCTTGGAAGGCCACCCACCCATTGTTGAAAAGAAAAAAAGTGGTCGTCTTAGACAGGTGGGCATCTTGGACAATGTCTTTGTTTTTTTTGTTTTTTTGGCAAGTGTTTTACGGCGCTCGCAACTACATAAGGTCATGTTAGGCGCGAAGGACACATTCAACATTTTCAGCAGGTAGGAAATTTTAAATTTTGACTGCTTGGTGGCCAAAGCCTACTCTTATCGATTTTTAGAAAACCAAGAGATCTTTAATGTGCGCAACTTGCTAACGGGACCTCCGAGATTTTCCGCCCTTATCTGAGAAAGATAGGTGTAGATCTCTCCTACCATAAGATCAGGGGTGTGGCTGAAAGACAGCAGTAAGAAGGAGCCACTGAGTAGCAGTAGAAAGGCTGCAGAAAGAGCTAGGAGCCCAGAGGAGGGGGCAAAGGGAGTGAGGGGGTTGGGGCAGAAAGTGGAGATGAAAGCAGATGATAGGACAACATTTTTAGAAAAGAATATTTTCCGCTGCTATCCAGATTTGAATCTGGGACCTATTAAATAAGAGGTGAACACCCTAGCCTCTAGGCCTCGAGAGCCTCAGTGTCTTTTTAATGTACAGTTTTTAAAAAATGCAAAGGGGGAAGTGGGAAATAGTAGTTTGAACATGTGATTGTGTTGGACATGAGCCTAACAGGGCAAGTTCCACTGTATTATATGTATACTAGCTGGGCCCCCTTTCGATGAAAGGGATGATCGGTGCTTTAATATAAGCTGAAAGTCATTGGCCTACTATATTTACAGTCTACTGGAATGGGGAAATAAATATTGAGAGATGCAAAAAATTAGGTCTAAATCTATACTCTTAAAACAAAATGCGTCTCGCGAAATATCACTTCCGGATTTTCTAAAATTACAGAGATAGAAGCGTCGGCCTACAAAAGTGATCGGCGAAATAAAGAAATTTAGCTTTTTGCTGCAAAACTGTCTCAAAACTGAAAAAACCAAGGGCGCCATGATCTGGAGAATATTTTACAGAAGATTTTGGCGAAAACTGCATGTCGATCGATGCGGCCATTACAAAGCCTTTTGAATAGCAAAATTCGGCCACCACAAATAGATAATAGATACATACAGCTACTGTTGCTATTCTCCACCCCTCCAACAGCCTTATTCTATCTGACTGTGTGAGTCACTTGTTCTTCATGTGACAGACAGGATAATACGATCAAGAACGTGTCTTGTTTTCTCAATGTCGTCAGAATGTTATTACCTGTGCCCATCTCTTTGTGAAGTCTCAGAAGTCGAATGTCCTCATCATACGTGAAATGGGTCAAGTTGAGGTTTGGTTCTAAGGCATTTATATATCTGAAACACCAAGAAAAAATAACATATGTGAGGTATCGTGGTGAAATCAGGCTCTCGTCAAAATAATGAAATCCGAAAAATCGTCATTTTTCAGCCACTTTGGAAATTTTATTAAAAAATTATTTTTTTGGGCTCAACACTTTGTATGTCCATTCAAATACACTTTTATATGTGGATTTTTTAAATTAAAAAAACGTTAATTGTAGGCACAAAATCGTAAATTTGCAGTTGCTAAGGACTCTTAAGCTACGGAAGTCACCAAATTTTGGCGGCCATTTTCTTGCTAATTTACTTCTGAAACCAGGCGACCCCACCTCCTTCAATCTAAAGTATCTCCACTTTTATTCAAGATAAATGGATATTTTTTCATTGAAAGCAAGACAAAGGAACAACTGTCAAGATGATACCAATAACTCCATATGCCCAAAAATTGACAAGCGCCTGATTCCACTGCCTTGCGACACATATCTGAAACACTATAGTCAACTTTTGTCTAATTTACCTGGGAAAAAAATCTGGCATCTCTAGTCTTCAACAAGCTAAAAAAATAAAAAAGAATTTATGAGCAACAATCGATTTTTCAACTTAACCACTTGAGGTCTTACTAACTGTCTTCATCAGCGAATGAACCACGCGGGCGTCTTCAAGTACTACCTCATTTGATTACTTTTCCTTCCAAGAAATTCTCAGCTGTTTACTTCACTTTATCCTTGCTCATGTATCATAAGATGTCGAGGGGAGGTGCAACCTTTGGTCAAGGGCTAGTTGGATGGCTTCTGTTGCTGATATGTTATCCTTCACAAGAACATCTTTAACGCCATCCTGCCAAGTTTTGCGTGGTCTGACGCTGCTCCTTTATCCCAACTCTTTTGAGTTTTCGTTTTTAGTTATAGTAAGAACTTAACAGCACTTGAAACACAATAAGGTTGTATAAACACCGACGATTAGAGGTGTTACGAGAGAGTAACAAACATAAAAAAAGGAGGAGAGAAAATGGATGACAGATATTTGATAGGAAAGTTTAGTTTTAGTAGAGGTTTTACGGCGCTTGCAACTGCATAAGGTCGTATGAGCTATAGAAGATAACAGCTGTTACAAGAGAGTAACAAACATAAAAAAAAGATGGGGAGATAAGGACGATAGATGTTTGATACGAAAGAATGAGCAAACCGCATCAGAGCACCTGCCAACCATCCATTTTTTCAACTGTCAGCCTACTGGAAACAAAACTGTGAACAAAGTACCTGTCCCTGCACTGGAACATGTTTCTGGTGCCCAAAAACTTGGCCACTTTCGACCAGCTGGGGCCCAGCATCTCCACGGCAGCTATCAGCCTCTGAAACAGGACAGGAGAAAGTCTTTTTTAAAGTTTTAATAGAGGTTTTAAGGGGCTCGCAACTGCATAAGTAAGGTCCTATGAGCGCCAAGGGGTGGATGTCAACAGAGAAGTCCTTACAGGGAATCAGACTCACTTTGCTCACCTCTCTAGCTTCAACAGCACAAGGTCTGCTTCGACTATCAAGGCACCCCGGAAATAGCAGTTCACAAGAGTGTGACAAACATACAAAAGAAGTAGAGGAAAAATGACGATACTAAGGATTACGAAAGAAAAAGCAGCAGTTCCCTGTTGCAGCAGTTCAGGCACAGTTATGAGCATGACATTGATGAATCAGCCCATTTACAATTACAATTCTACTGTGCATAAGAACTCGACATGTTAATGTCCCCCCTTTGGGAATGGCCTAAAGACACTTCAGTCAGTAGCACTGCCCCGGGGGGTTGAGAAAGTCTGAGGGGATCTAGTGTTGGCACCAAACATAGAACCAAACTAACATCATCCAGAGGGATTAATCTACATCGCCATCCTCAGTATTTACTTATCATTGTTATACTCATCATTGTTATCACCACCACCAACATTAGTGTTAATCATCAAAAGAATAATAAAAAAAAAACAACAACAAAAAATTCTAAACAGTATCTTCTTTTGTGATCATAAACAATCAAACTCTTGACAGTTACTACCACAGTGAAGAAGAAGAAGAAGAAAAAGAAGAAGAAGAAGAAGAAGAAGTAGAAGAGGAGGAGGAGGAGGAGGAGGAGGAAGAAGAAGAAGACCAAACATACGGCGTCCTCTTGTGGGGCCCAGCGGCCGTGGCTCTGCCCCGGGTCGACCTTGGAGAACCTGAGCATGCAGTCCGAAGGGCTGCGTGAATCCATCAAGGCTGACACTGAAAGAAAACATTTTTACAAATTGTAAATAAGTAAGAATGGGCTTCCTCTGAACCTCAGACATCAATTCATCCACTCTTTCATTTTTTCACATAACCAAAGCACAGTTTAGCACCGAGATGCTTTCTGAGAAAATCTTCCCCTGAACCCCAGAGATCAATTCATCCACTCTTTCATTTTTTAACTTGAACCTAGCCACAGCACATACAATAACTAGTCCAGCATAGAAATTCTTTCTAAGAAAATCTTAACTCGTTCTCCCTCTTGCAGAATTAGAGGCTAAAAAATATTCCGACTTACCTTTCTTCCAACTGAAAAATCCATAGCAAGCTTGAATTTTATTGGCAACACTGCACAGCTTTAGGTCCTCCTCTATCGTCCATCTCCTGAGAAAAAAAAACAGACAGTTGTTTTTTTAAATGTACATGTTTTGCACCCTCATCAACACAATTTACAACATGTAGGAGACGAGCCTCCAATCCTGCCTGTCGGGGCCAATCTGGGCTGAGAGAGATACAACTCCCCAGAAGAAAGATCGCGATACTCTATAAAAGTATAGAACATGTAGAAGTTTTATGGCGCTCGCAACTGCATAAGGTCATATGAGCGCCAGAAGATTAGAAAGGTTACAAGAGAGTAACAAACATAAAAAAGAAGAAGGGGAGATAAGGACGGTAGATGTTTTATAGGAAAGAATAAGCAAACCACACCAGAGCACCCGCCAACCATCCACACTCTATAAAAACTGCACTCGGGTCACCTGTGTACATCAGCGAACTACGTAACTCCTATACCACAGACACTGGTCAGCCAAACGTAAAGGTTGACAGCTACCTATTGAACAGATGTCTGAAGACCACTGAAGTCATATTTTCAAGTTCAAGGAAAATCAAATTCAAACATATAAAGAAAAGAAAATACTTTGACTGGTCACTTTTTTCAAAAAGGATTCCTTTAAGACAATGTAGTCCCCGTTGGTCATGTTGACAATTTTTCAGAGTGACTGTACATGTAAAGGCAGCGACTCATTAATTTCTTATTTGTGACTGACCCCTTGTCCTCTGAGGTCTTGGTCTTCCTCCGGTAAATACAAGCACATATAGAATACTGCTTACATTGAAAAATAATAAATGTAAAAATTTTTTTGGAACCAAGAAAAGTTTTTTTTCAAGATAGCATTGAGAACACTGACGGACTCTGAAAAACTCCAGAGACTGGGGTTGATTTCTGGATGTCCCAGGAAGGGCAATGTATTGTTCAAATTGACATTTTAACTCGCCTAGCCCTACATCGATAATATTGGTATGCGCTCGCAGCGCTCCAACCCTAACGCAGACAGTATCAGAATGGAAAATTTCGCTCTTGTGACCGAAAACGCTACTTTCGTGTGAAGCAGACTATAGCCTAATTGGAAAAGTAACCATTTTTCGTTTGAAACAGACTATGACCAGAAGTGCAAGCTCAAATTTAGAACAAAGAAAGCTATATTCGTGAACCATGTGAAGGGGTGTGAAATTTGAACGCACTTCCTTTCTTTGCTTTTTGTCTACTTCTTGACTCTGTATATAGACCTTTTTCCAAGGAGAATTGCATAAAAGCTACGATATATTTTGTCTTCAAATATTCAATACGCACAAATAAAGGTTTGAATAAAATGTACACCAAATGCGGGTAGGATATATTAAAATTTAGTATTTTTTCAATTTTCAAAAAGTGGTAAAAATCTCTAGGGAGAGCTGACAACCAGGAAGTGTGGGCCTAGGGTTGAGTGAGTGAAACTACAGTCAAACTTAAGTCTATGGCAGACGCCCATTTTTGAGGAGAAAAGTGGTTGTCTTAGACAGGTGAACATCTTACACAGTGTCATTTCAGAGCGTATGTATGCGTGTTCATTCACTTGTGTTCTGCCTAGAGGTGAAGGGTTTGTAAAGCATTTAGAGCTGTAGTAATCTACGGGAGTGGGTGTTATAGAAATTATCTTCATTCATCATCTTTTACTGCCAGATCTGTAACAGACATCGGTGATCATGGTTCTCCATTCATTCCTTTACTCGGATGCTCTTAACCTCTTCGTTGCTGCGCCCGTAGAATTTATGGGCCTAAACCGTGTAGCGTGGTGCCTTTGGCCCGTAGAATTTACCGGACAGTGACAGAGGTTGTTTTGATACAAATAATAAGGGAAGTTACTGCTAAAATCTTGTAATTATTATTGGGGCACCTTCCATTTATGTTTACCACCATTTTCCCCCCATTTGAAAGCGTCATAGTCAGAATTTAGCTCAAAAAGAAGATTAGATCTTGATCTAGATCTAACATATCTTGGTCTACAGCACAAAAATGATTTATAGGCAGTAAACACAGATGGGCTTACATGTATATATATATGGATTGTACAAGGGTTGTATATATTAAGGTAGGAAAAGCCTCTGCAAACACTCACACAGCATGTATTTCCCTTTTTGGGTCTCAGTTTATCATTACTCGAATGTGTGTTGCTTTATGTTGTTGGGTGGTGGTGTTCTTGGCATCATGTTAAATGTTACTAACTCCAACTTTTCTCCATCTATCTCTCAATGAAATCCCCCTAAAACTATATTTATAGAAACGTGGTTCAATGCAGAATGTACACATAGAAATCCATGAGGAAATATTCATGAATAAAAAAAAAGTTATGGGAGGTATATTGGGGTCACCCCTGAGCAGCCTTGGTTCAAGGGATTTCACCCGGCACAGGGGCCTATTTACCTGCAGCACTGAAGGGGTTAAAAAAAGCTACGTTTCCCTGATCTTTCCCCGCTACCCATTTGCTTAGGTTCCCTAAGTAGGCTGCTCGGGGCCTACCCCTGCCTCGTTTGTCTTCAATTTTGCCACTGAGAGCTATATGTTCAAAACCTTTATGTCTATTCAGGTGTCTTCATTATCATTATTATTATAATTGTTATTATAATATAAAAAACACTCAAGGAGAGAAATGAAAAGTGGCCGTTTGTACAGGTGGTTGTCTTATACGGGTGGCCATTACAGCAGGTTCAACTGTATTCTCTTCAGGTCAACAATCAGTGAGTATTCATGCAGCTTAAGGCAAAAACTATTTCTTATCTTTACCTGGACTTCATTTCTGGATTCAGATAACTTTGGAAATGACTGAAACACTGGAATGCCGTTCGCCCTGTCTGGGAAAGTTAATAAAAAACAGTTTGTGATTTGTTCATACAAGAAACATCACACAATTTTATCATGCATAAAATAGTATGCAATTTGTTTATGCAAAAAAAAGTATGCGAATTGTTTATGCTTACAATAGTATGCGAATTGCTTATGCATAAAATAGTATGCCATTCATTCAAACATGAAACAGAACCATAAAATAGTTTGCAATTTGTTTATGTACAAAACAGGACACAATTTTATTTGGACACAACAAAGAGTATATACATAAAGTAATTTGATTCTTTATTTTTAAAAAGTACACAGTTTGTTCATAATACATTCTGCTTACATTGTATAAAAGCCATCCTGAGCTTAATAAAGCCTATTAAACTGACTAGGAAAAAAATCTGGAAGTTTTCGGACCCTATGGAAACACATACGAGCAGAGTCAAACTGTACAAATCGTATTGTCTCACACACCTTGTATCATGCCTATTTTACACAAACTGCAAAAGTCTGGAAAAAAATTAGGACAATTAAAACAATGTAAAGGAAAGTCTAATTTCCAGATTTATTTAGAAAATCAGCACTGCCTCAGTATAAAAGTTTACCCCGAGCTGTTGCGCAATCATCTTCCAGTCCTTGTCCTCAGATTCAGCCACCAGTTTCTTCAGCTCGTTTTCCTCCGGCTTTTTCCAGCCCGAGGTGTTCACTTTGGTCGCCACCACGTTCTCCCATGCCTTCTGGCAGTCCAGCCATGATGTGCTACCGCCAAACTGCACCACGGGGGGAGAGAGAAAACTTTTGTTAATACAGCCAAACTTGTTCATAGGTAGGTAGGGAGGAGGGTGGGTAAGTAGGTAGTTAGCTAGACAATGACAATGACAATGACAATCTTTATTCATCTCGCAGGGAGAAATTCGTCTTGGTCGTTAACAATGGCAGTAGACGTTACAAAAGTTAGACTTAAAGGTGCACTCACGCAAACGCACAACAAGACAGGACATTATGCCAAGTAAATACATGTCTCACGGGCTGGGACAACCCGCTCCGTAACACATTCATTCTCTCTCTCTCTCTCTCTCTCTCTGTCTCTCTCTCTGTTTCATTTGTAGCACTGTGTGTTCAGTAACCTCACTGCAGTTGGTACGAATGAATTTCTATATCTGTCTGTTCTTGCTTTTTTGGAAATGTATCGTTTACTGCGGGTCGATAGTTGAAATTCCGAAGTCAGTGGGTGGCTATGATCACTAAGCATTATTTCCGCCTTTTTTAGAACGTTTGTCTTGTGCAGATATTCAAAGTTACTTAGGTCTCTAACAATTGTTCTTGATGCCTTTTTTATCAACTTATTTAGTTTTATAATGTGCTGCCTTCCCAGATTGCTACCATAGCAAGTGATTCCAAAATTTATCAAAGTTTCTATTGTGGTGGTGTAGAAAATCTGAAGGATGGATGGATTCAGATTGAAAGACTTTAGTTTCCTCAGAAAGTACAGCCTCTGATTAACTTTTTTAACGATATTGTTTACAATAGGTAGGTGGGTAGGCAGGTGGGTCAGTGGGTTAGTAGGTAGGTAGGTGGATGGGTATATAGGTAGGCACGTATGTAGGTAGGTAGGTAAGTGTTTTAGTCAGTACTTAATGAAATTGCCCCACATCACATAAAACATACACATTTTACATCAGAGACTTCTGTAAAAACAGCATAAATTATAAATGACATACGCATCAATAACATTTATAAATCACGTTGAGAACCTGTCCATAAGGGTTCCTCAAGATCAAGGAGAAAGATGACTGACATAGACCGGTTGCTATGAGGAGGCTGATGGGCTGGCAGGCAGTTCTGCGGTTGATGGTGAGGTGAAATTCGACAAAGGAGAAGTGTTGAAGACCCTGGAGGACAAGTTGCGGGATGAGGAAGACAGGGAGACAGCAGAATACCATGCAATCATCAGGATGCGGGAAATGGGGATAGAGAGAGGAGAAGGAAGAAAGGAACGATTTCTCGAAAGGAAAGACATCGCCATAATCAAACAGTCACTGGGACAATTAGTATGGATACCTTGCGGGCTTTAGTGCTGAGAGGAACTGAGCACTTAAGGACTTGTCCGGCGTGCAATGACGTTGTGGCCCAGGACAAGTAAGAAAGACAGGTTGCTACTACAGACAGGGTCTGAGTTATGGTCAAGTACTGGACGTGACGGTCACGTACTGGACGTGACAAGGTCAGTAGATGGTGGAAAATCTGAAATTCTCTCTTTCCATTTCATTTCCAAAAAATGTATAATCTATCTTAAGAGCTTCCCTGGATTGACTGACCATACACGCTCAGTCTGAGGACGAGCCGGAGGAACATTTTTTGTAGCAAGTGATCGCAATGGTCATGTTTCGAGGCCGACTTGTTGCGAAATTTACTGAACATGATCGTGTTGGACAAGAACTGCTTTGGACAGGTTAGAAATATAGGAGGAAACAATTAAGATAATGTAGGAGGGTCAACTCGGGCTGAAAGGGTCACAACGTTTGGGCAGATAAGAGGAAATACTTGACAAAAAAACCAGAAAAAAACCTCCACATTCAAGAATCTACGTCACGTCTTCTCCATTCAGAACGAAAACCCAAACAACTAAATTACAGACACTGACAGATCGAAGGAAAGAGAGCAGGATCGATATACCAAAGAACCTGTGACACACAAACATCTAAGCCGAATCTTCATGTTTGCAACTGAACCACTGAAAGGGCTGCATCCCCCTCTTGTATGAAGTCAGTCTAGCTATTACCAAAGATAGTACAAGACAAGATGGGCCACTCAGCCTAAAAAGTGTCCGCAGGAAGTATGCTCTTTGCTTCAGATGGCGCTGCAGTCTGTTTTGAAGCTCTCTTTCGTTTTTCCAGAAGAAGAATAGGAATAGCACCTCCTTGCGTGCGCAGATCGACTGCTGTTCATCAGCAGTTCGGGTATGTTCAGTGCGGAGTTTTAGGTTTTTTAAATTTTAATGACCTCTCGCCCTTCATTCTAAAGTCAAATTAAACGAAGAAAACCATCTCCTTTTCCTCCGGAAGAGGTTTTTTTGTCAGCGTAACCATTTTAAAAAAACGTTCTTTCGAAATTTATCCCAAAACTTGCTAGTTTCACTTTGATTTTTTAAAACTCAAGTAGGGTAACTCTGTTCGCAAAGAGTGCGCTTTTGTGAAGAGGGCGCCACCAAATTTTGAGGACACTTTTTTAATTGGCTCAAAGAGAGAAGTGGCCCATCTTGTTATGTACTATCTTTGCTAGTACCACACCCACCCACTGCAGAAAGTAAATCAGATAAGATAACATTTTATTGATCTCCATAAAGAGAAAATCGGTGCAGCCTGGGAAATACATACACGCACATGAAAAAGTCAGCACACTCACACACACATGCATGCATACACACACTCTCACTCACACTCACAGACACAAACACAGACCCAAACACACACATGCATACACACACTCACACTCATAACATACTTACAAACACAGACTCACACACACATGCATACACACACTCTCACCCACACACACAGACACATACACAGACGCACACTCACGAAAATACCCATATTTGGCTTTCAGTGCCCTGTGCAACGGAACCCTTCATTCGTTTCTTTCTTCACTCAACTAACCTTCATTTTTGAAATTTTCATCCAGTCCACTTTTTCTGGGTCGACATTGGCGAGCAATTCTTCGGGAGGGATGCTCCTAAGTGAAAAGACAAAAAAGGAGTAAAGACAGTTCGTCTTAATAAGAGTTTAACGTCACTTGCAACAAAGATATGTCATATAAGTGACAAAAATTAGGGGTGTTACAACACAGAAACACACACACAAAAAAAAGAGGAGAGCTAAGGATGACAGTGTATGATGGGAAATAAGAAGCAAGCCACATCAGATCAAAGACACCTCGATTCAACAGACTTTCTGTTATATTTTAGATTGCATACAACACAAAAGAAAAATTAAAACAACAGAGAAAAGAAAGAGGAGAGACAAAAGACGATAGATGTATGATGAGAAAGAAGTAGCAAACCCCACCAGCTCAATAAAGCTCGGATCCAATAGACTTTCAGTTAAATTTGATATTACATACAGCACAAGAGAAAAAAACATACAAATATAATTTAACACTTTGCGGTCACTTGGCGTAAAAACATGCTGGTGAAAATCATCTGTTCCGGTCACCTGGAATAGCTCACGCCCAATAAGTCTGTTGCAGTCGCTCTCCTGGCTGGGTGACCAGATGGGGTACTTTGTACTGTTGGCTGTGTGACTGCAAAGTGTTAATATTATCAAATCTAAATTTTAAAAAAGAACTATCATTGAACTTGTCCAAGACGACGACCCTTTGTTGAGGAGAAAAGTGGTCCCCTTAGACAGCTGGTCCTCTAGGACAATGTCATTATTAGAGAGGGAAAAAAAACCCACAAGAGGGAGAAGTGGAAAGTGGTCATTTTTACAGGTGATTGTCTTGTTTAGTTTTCGTAAGGTTTTATGGCGCTCATAACTTCATAAGGTCATATGTGAGCCGTGCTGACAAAATGAGTTCTTCTTGCAATCCACAAATGGAGATAGTGGTAAAAAAATTAACACTAGTGTCAAATTTGAATATTTTCTATTGATGACATATTCTTTAACTAAAACCTGTCTTTTATTATTGCATTCTCAAAAATTGTAAATACTTCAACTGTAAGCGTGATGTATCTATTTCCTGAAGACTTGAATCTGAGAAGTCACTCATTTTGTCAGCACGCTTCACATCTGAGCGCCAAGGGGTGGATGTCAGCAGAGAAGTCCAGACGGGGAATCAGGCTTTCTCTGCTCACCTCTCTAGCCTCAACAGCACAAAGTCTGCTTCGACAATCAAGGCACCCCAGAAAAAGCAGGTCACAACATACAAAAGAAGTAGAGGAAAAAATGATGATAGTAACGATGGGGAAAGAAGAAGGAGCAATCCCTCTAAGTTGTTCCGGCACAGTATGAGCTGGACATTTATAAATCAGCCCACTTACAATTCTGTGCATAAGAAAATGTTCATATCCCCCCTTGGGGAATTCATTGTCTTGGACATGTGATAGTCGGAGCAGGTTTTGTCTGTATTTCTCACACTTTATTAAGGCAGCAATATCTCTTTTACTAGAAGACAAGCAACGCAATAAAAGATTTAAAAACTACTTCTATCTCACATACTTTTTCACTCTCAGCTCTTCCTCTATTTCTTCAATTCTTCTGCTGTGTTCATCCACCATTGCTCTGAAAAACAGTCAAACAAATCATAGTTAACTATTCAGGATATAGGGAAAAAGTAAAACAACCAATAAACAGCACCCCCAACCCAAACAAACACATTTACAACAACCCCCCCCCCCCCTTCAATACAGATACAGGTATAACACGTTCACCTCTCACCTCCTCATAAAGAGGTAAAACACATCCCCCCGGCAAAGACGTATAACATATTTCATAGTAGGCATATTGTAGTATGCCTTTTAAAGTTTGGGATAAATAAAATTGAAATGAAAAATGTGTACGAATAATAAATTTCTGTTTCTTCCTTAACAAAAGTGCCCCAAAACAGTGCGTCTTCCTGTGTTGTTAAATAACAAGAATGCACCTCCTCAAAGAGCTCATCATCATCATCCAATGCCGGATCTGCAACAGACATCGGAGTATCATGGTTCTCCATTCATTCCCTTGCTCAGATGCTGTTTTCCTGATCTTTCCCCGTTACCCAAAGAAAAAATGAAATGATATGGGTTTAACGCTCCTATCAACACTATTAGGTTATTTAGAGGCGGGGTCTCCTATTTTAACGTCCGTCTCTGAAAGGACCGAGCCGAGTGGGAAATTCGTGTAAAGTGCTTTTCCCAAGGACACAACGTCGGACAGAGCTGAGGCTCGAACCCATGAACCCGCAATATCACGATTTACGAATCCGTAGCCTAACCACTAGGCTACCGACACAACAGTTACCCAAAGAGTTCAAGACAGAAGAAAAACAACCAAACTCACTGTCTATCCTCACACTTGTCCCTCAGCTCTGTGATGGACGAGTGCAACTCCATCCTTGCCTCACCCTCCTTGAGCAGCCCCTCGTTCTTCAACTCCGTCAGTCTTTCCTCCTGCTCCTGCAGTTGCTCCTGGAGAGGGGTCACCGTGTCTTGTACCTCCTCTTTCTTCTTCACCTCAGCCTCCAGTCTGAAGGAAATTTTTGTTTTTGAGAAGAAAGATATATATACATTGACACTTGCTGACAATCTCTTAGAGCAGGTGAAGAATGATACAACTACTACTATTACTAATTCTACCACTACCACCACTACTACTAGTAAAAATAATAGTAATAAGTTTCTCTCTCCCTCTCTCTGAAAGTCAGAAACATCTGTTTAGCAATTTTTAGCTTCATTAAGACTTTTACTGCACTTGCATAACAATTAGGTTATATAAGTGCCGAAGATTAGAGGAGTTACCAAAGAGAAAAATACAAAGAGAAGAAGGACGAGAGATAAGGACAACAGATGTTTGATAGGAAAGCAGGAGCAAACCACATTAGAGAGCCGTTAACTACCCACACACACAAAAGCAAAACACACAAAATAATATACACATTAAAACCACTCACTTCATCAACAAAGGTCTCAACAACTGCTCCAGAGTATCCTCCAGCACAGCTTTCTTCAAGACTTCTCTTGACCTCTTTTTGACTGACAGAGAAAGAAAAAAGAATTGACTGGAAAGAAATAAAAACTTCAGACACTTTATAGAAGGAAAGACAAAATTTAAAAAAACCCAACATCCAAAGTATGTAGTTTACTAAATTCAATGTTTGACTAATCAAAGAGTGTGATTAACAACACAAATATACATGACCCCCAGGGTAACAAGCTATATAGGTAGGAGGAAGGGGTAGGGGGTAGGCTAGAGGATGGAGTGGGATGGATCAAAGTTACCATGTACCACAACACAAATCAGCTGTTCTGTGCTTTGACCTTGAAAATGGAGGACACAATCACCAAAACACAACTCAGATTATCCCAGCAGACCTGACAGCATTCTGAAACATTCTCAACTTCCTGGGAAGCATATGGTATAAGCTGCCATTTTTTATAGGTGCTAAATCACTATCATACTGACAATCAACAAATAAAAAATTAGTAAATGTTATAGCCAAGGAGAGATCCTGCTGACAACATGACATAAACTCCCACATAAACGAAAGCGAGATGGAAAAGGTCTCTAAAGACTCGCCATTGTCGAGTCGGTAAAAAAAAATTGGGGGGAAAGAGCTGTTGGCTGTTGGCTTGACTCTTGCAAAGCAAGAAAAAAATAAGAATCAGGGGAGCTGTAATCAGATTAAGATAAAATTGAAAAAAAAAAAAAAATCGTGACGATTTCCCCCAAACTCGTAACGATGGGCAGCCCTGTATTTAAAGCTGGGGTTGTATCTGGATAGATAGGACAAAGTAAGTACAGTCAAACACGTACTTTTTCAAAACCCAATCATGTTTTAGTTTTAGTAAGCATTTTACGGCATTTGCAAAACAGTGCACTCATATAAGTGCCGAAGATTAGAGGTGTTACAGGAGAGTAACAAACACAAAAAAGAAGGAGAGATCAGGACGATAGGATAGATGTTTGATAGAAAAAAAGGAGCAAACCACACCGGAGCACCCGCCAACCACCCACCCCCTGAAGTGGAAGAGGCTGAACTGTCCTCTCAAATTCCTAACTGCTGAATCCGCAACAGTCCTGGGAAATTCGTGACAGTCGGCAAGTCTGCAACCTATAGTACTACCAGATAAATATACACAAAAACCAAAAACCACAACCGAAACAAAACCAAACCAAACAAAAACCCCTCACATGACACATGGTCTCTGACAGGATTGATCCTCTGTTCCTGGGACATTCTCTTGAGAGTAACATCTTCGTTGACCGGAGGGTACTACAAAGAAAGGAAAACAACACATGTGAAAAATGATACACAGACATAATTTGGTCGCTTTTAAGGACAAGCCCGCTAACCCAGATTTTGGGGGTTCCCAGAAATCTTGACCTACACCAAAAGTGGGCATTGCCCTACCTTCTATAGGAGAAGTTTGGTTTCATTGATGTGTATTTTTGTTTGGTTATAGAGAAAACTCTCCTTGTCTTTAAACAGAACAAGGGGCAAAAACTTTACCTTCGATTTTCTCAAAACAGCGTTTTTCGGGATAGCCCCCTGGGCTTAAAAGCGACCATTTGTCCTCTTTCATAAAGCAAAAGTTACTATCAGTTCCCCAGTGCCCAGATTCTACAGAACAGTGACTGTGGGTCCGCTGTGAGTGCAAGCATATATTATGTGTTTGTGTGTGTGTAAAGATAAACAGTGACTGTGGGTCCGCTTGTGAGTGCAAGTATATATGTATGTGTGTGTGTGTGTGTGTATGTATGTGTGTGTGTGTGTGTGTGTGTGTGTGTGTGTGTGTGTGTGTGTGTGTGTATGTATGTGTGTGTGTGTGTGTGTGTGTGTGTGTGTGTGTGTGTGTGTGTGTGTGTGTATGTATGTGTGTGTGTGTGTGTGTGTGTGTGTGTGTGTGTGTGTGTGTGAGAGTGTGAGTGCGCGCACGCCTGTTTGCCTGATGAAGCAGCAAACCAATGTGCCACAGTGTGGACAATAAAGATTGATCTTCTCTTGTCCTTTCTTATCTTACACAGCAAAATGAAGACAAAAGAATAAAGTACAGTGGCAGATGAATAAAACTACAATGAACAAGTCTAGCATAAAAAAAGAGTCAGTTTTCCGGGAAGACAATACCATACCAACGACTGATAGTAGTCTGTAACTGGAGCACCACTAAATATCAACGGTATATTATTTCGGATGGGCATAGAAGGTGTTTCTGTGAAAAGAGTGAAATGGTATAGGTTTAACACCCCTATCAATAGGTTATTCAAGAGGCGCGACCTCTAAGTTTAACATCCATTTCCGAAAGGACCGAGCCAATTGGGAAATTTGTGTAAAGTACCTTTACCAAGGACACAATGTCAGACCCAGCTAAGGCTCGAACCCCCGAACCCGCAATCTCACGATTATGAGCCCGGTAGCCTAACCACTAGGCCATCAACATCCCTAAGGTGATACTGTTTGTAACTGTAATTGTTTCACACCACTGTTGACACAAGCCAGATAATTAACTTCCCCAAACGGGAATCAAACTCACTTCGACACGCAACGCTGGAAAGCCAAATACTATAGCATAAATGTCAGTGAGTAGATAACGTCGGTGTGCTTCCATATCTGTCTCCCCCGCTCAATATCCGTCGAAAGACGCAGGGTGCTATTGTCAGCTACGAGGCTCGAAAGGCAAAAAAGTGGCTTTCCATGAAGTTTTTGTTTTTTGGATCAATTGAAAGTTTGATGTCTTCTGCTTCATTTAAGATAAAAATAAATGACTATAATCAACAATAACTTTCAAATCTCTATCTCAATTCTAAGACCCCCCATTGCTATGGAAACATGTTGCTCAACTTCGGAGGCCATTTTCTCCTTTTCGTGTTTCCTCACCTCGCACAATTAAAAGTTCTGTATTTTCGTCAAATAAGGTCATTTACTTTATTCTTGTTTTAAATTGTAGGGAAAAGGTGATAGTTTTTAAAAATAATGGTAACTCAGTTTTGAAATTTCCTTCATATGACTGATATTGACTGGCAGGGACACATAAGTAAATCAGCTAAAGGAAAACTGCTTCGAGATAGAGCTTAATATTTCCTAGAGACTTACAGAAACATCAGTCCTGAAGTAGGGAGCTCTGAAGGGACCAATACTCGAACCTTTCGCCAACTTTCTCTTCGGGTCGTCGGTGGACATCTCCTCCTCCAGCTCCGCCTGCCAACAAAGACAGCAGACAGCGTGCATGAAAAGAAAATCACAGAACAAAAGAAATTAAAAACTTTTGACTGATCCTCATGAAGGTGTTCGTCTTTTCTGATATTGATAAGCGCAGACTGAGATATCGAGCATCTCACAAGCGCTTACGACATTTTTGGAAGTTTGGAGAAAATTATTTTGAAAAAATTAAAGTGCCTAAATAAAAATAAAGATTCGGGCACTCACTATTTTTAGAAATTAAAAGCGAGGAAGGAAATGACAAAACAGAACAAAACTGTGTTGTAAGATGTCCCTTGACGCCTTTATTTGAATAATGGCTTGAATAACACAGTGAAAGATCTTGTCAGTTTGTTAGTGTTTGAGCGCTTAACCAGCTGCTTGCACTGTATGCTTCCCGGGAAGCTGAGAATGTTTCTGAGTGTTCTATGGTCTGCTGGGGTAATAATATAGTGTAAAGCGCATAGAGCTTGCTTTCGAGTGGGGTCATGCGCTATATAAATGCTATTTATTATTATTGATTTGGAAACCCTGAGGACTTGGGAGATTGTGTAATGACAACGACGATATCCTCACTGGGCTAGCAGAATGGCATAATTTAGAGCTGTGCAAAAATGCAACTAGCCCTTTATCTTATGTGGTGGTACAAAAAAATGCGCTGGCAGTCACAAAACAAACACGCATAGCAAGTTTTATCATTATAAATGATAAACGGTCCACTTAAACAGTTTTTCCCATCCATCTCAAAAGTAGCAAAAACGAGTGGTGTGCCATTTTGCTAGTGCAGTGATGATAATAATATGTTAGTCTTGCAATCAGAAGGACAAAAAACGAATTGAGGGATTATAATTTTGTGTGGCAAGGCAGAAGGCGGAAGAAAAAGAGACAGACCACCTACAACAGTGCCTACCAGCCTGGGTGATATCTTCCACTAGTGGATAGTTTGGTTATTTTAACAGGCGGAGGAGATCACCCATGTAGTGACAGGTCTTATTCAATGGCCCCACTTGGAAATACATGTAGGTGGGTGATATGAAAACTGTAGCCTCTTAAATGTGGTACAAGTGGGCACTGGCCATAAAAGAAGGTTGACATGCACTGACCTACATCATAAATATTCAACACCTCTGAGGTCAGCAGCCAATAAAGGCAACAGGAGGTCGGAGAGCTCAGCAGAGACAGGGAAAGATGGCGAACTGTGGTGGCGTTATGTGGAGCTAAAATTGTCAACAGAGGAGAAAGAGACGATGATAGAATGGACGTTTTACAATTGATGCATCTGCACCATCTTTCTTTGTGTTTAAGTCGAATATCTAAAATCTACATAGGACACAAAATGGATGCTTCCGAGGAGGGGGTGTTCCAGTTTAGAAAAGGGAGAAAGATGGCAGAATGGGGAGAAGAGGAGGGGCAAGGGGGGGGGGGCAGAATGAAAAAGAATAGAGCTCCCCTGAAATAAAACCCAACCTAACCCAAATCAAATGTTTAGACCAATGACATTAACATTATCCTTGATTGCTGTAAGAATCACAAGGATGAACGATGCAAACTTGCAAAATTACCTGTTTCTGCCTGTTTTGCTGCAAGGCGCCCGATATAGTTTCAATATGGTCTTCTAGAATTCCCTGCAGAGCCCGGTTCAAAGCCAGCACCTTCTCTGGCCCACTTATCTCAGCAGCCACATTTGGCTCCGACGGAAGAGGAATACTTGGCCGAGGTCCCACATCTCCACTCTCCTCATCCTGAAGACATATGTGGGAAATAGAAAGAAAACATGAGAAAAGGCGACAATATTCTCACACACACACATACACAAACACACACATACACTCACGACCACATTACACGCACACACATGCACGCTACACACATGCCTACTTGCTTTTCACACGTGCATGCTCACACATCGTTATGAAATGAGCACACACAAATACATAATAAAATAATATACACAATGCAATTCGCGAGTTAACAAAATACATATAAATGGATACATTATAGTCATTTACATAACATTGTACTAAGCATGAATCTACAGACAGAAAAATGATTTAATTAAATTTGTCTTTAAAGATGTTTTAAATTTAGACTCAGATGTTGTATGTTGTAATACTGAATATGGAACACATCGTCAAGGTAGTCAAATTATTGACAGCATGTATGTGTTCAAAGGTGATATTCACACCAGATCTCACATTGCATGACTCAGAATAATATTTTACCCCCCCCCCCCCCCCCCCTTTAGCTACTCAATTAAATGATAAAGGAAAAAAAAAGACAATCAAATTAGCTGAGAGACAAACATCTTCCTCTTATTTCAAAGCTGTTGAATTTCTCGAAATGAACAAATATAAAATATAGAAATTGAATGTTTCAGGATCCTCAATGTAGCAAAACTAATGCTATACATACATTCATGTAAGTCTCTGCTATTTTCCAACATATACTTATTTATAACAAATTTTTTAAAAAGTCCCACCATTAAAATTTCACACTTTTAATTTTAGTCTTTTCGAGATTGTCTAAAAAAATAATCTTTCTCTTTTTACCTGCTTAAGTCAGGCAGGTAAGGACACAGAATTAAAAAAATTAAACAACAAAAATCTTTTCTCTTCAATGATCAAAGTTGGCCCTGTATTACTCAGAGACAAAAGAAATCTTTAAAAACAAAACAAAACAAGTTGATTTTTCTATTACTTAACTTTGTCAAGGATGATTCAAAGCTGTAACTTTGATGATATAAAAAAAGTCTATAAAATTTACAGGAATCTGGCAAAGTCTTACCCCTTCAGCAATATTTGCCGCGACAGAACTTGATTCAGCAAAGCTGGGTGATGTTGACCTGTCACCTGTAGGAAACAAAAATACAACATGACATGGTATCCACATATCTGCTAGAAAGGAAACATGGCCCACTGTATTGATTTGTATACTTGGGACCGTACAATCTATTCGAACAAAGAAAGACTCGAAACCAAAAAAAAAAAGGGGCAGTTTTCTACTTTTAACAGTAGTTTTTGGGCTCAAAAGCAAACCAAAGTAACCAAAGTAAGGAAACACACACAGGTTAAAAGGAAAATTAAGAACAGTACAGCACTTTTTATCTAGTTACTCATTGTTGTTCAATATTTTGGTTCAGTTTCCCCTTCTTTATTGTTCCTCCATACCAGAAATTTTCTCCCAAATACTCATAGAGTAAAATTACCGGTTCGGTCAAAATAAGGACGAAAACAGGCACGTCGACTTTAAAGCTTTATATCTCCTATCTGCCTTGCCCTAGAAACAAACCGAAACCAGCTACAGGAAGTCCTGTGATTGGATGACCCCAGGAATGACCTGTTTCAGCTTGTTCTCATATTTCAGGCCCTTACTGGGTGCAAAAGTGACGCTCGATTTATTTACAAGTTCGGACACATTTTTTGGTTTTCTCATGGATTCGGGCAGTATTTTGACATTCGGTCATTTTCAATCATCATCACATTTGTTTGTTTGCAAGCTTAATAACATGATTTTTAATGCTTGTTATCAACACTTGGACACAATGATAGTTTGTCTAAAGTGGTTTTCACCATAATATAGCTATTTAAATGAGTATGTATCTGACCCACTCTACTACGTGGTATCTGACTCTACTACACTGGCATCTGGCTCACTCAACTACACTGGTATCTGACTCTGCTACTCTGATATCCGACTGTATTTAGTATTACACGATGGTATCTGACTTTACTACCCTGGTATCTGACTGAGCTAATATGCTGTATCTGACTCTACTATTATTTAAATTATGCACAAATTCTTTATTCTTTGTTATATAACCATTGGCTCTATATTATCTTATGTGCCCGAAGGATGAGAAACTACGGATTTTATGTTACAATCCGGGCACCCCCCGTTTGGGCAAAAACGGCGAGACTAAACGGCAAATTCTCTTTCATCCTTGACAGGGCCTCATATGCAAATAACTCTCCAGCCTTCAGAGTCTACCAAAACGTAGAATCTAGGTCACAGGCTCCTTCATCCACGACCAATGTTAACTCTTCCGGGGAAAGAGCTTCACGCTGTTTTGCTCAGTTGATGAAGAAAAAGCTGTCTTAAGGACTATTTTTAGCAAAATATCGCCGTAACTGTTCTTTCAACGAAAGCAAGGGAGGTTGCTTTAGGTTCGTGTGCCACTCTTTTGGGGCTAGATTTAAAGACAAAGTTTTAAACGATCTTTTTGTACTCCAGTGCCCGACAGCAAAAAAAAAACGTGCTGCCCGAACCGGTACGATTACTCTAATACACACACGACAACCATAAAGCTTTTTAATTCAAGCACATATTTTCATAAAGTAAAAGGCACTTTGCTCTTGGAATATTAATCTGGATACCAGTGTTGTTTATAGGCTGAATAAAGGCCGAGTACCTATAAAACTGTAGCATTAATTACAATGATGTGGCATGTAAAAAGAAATTCTTCAACCCTTCTCAAGCCAGCTCTTTTTCTTGTTAAATTATTCACAGTGGCTACGTTCACGGCGCCATGAATGTAGTTTCGCTACGTTCACGGCACCTTGAATCATCCACCATTGGCACAGAGGCACGACAGAAATGCTATGGTCAATAAAAGTGAATGAGGAAACAGCACAGGAATACTCGTGAAAAAGATATAGATCTAGTCTGCAGTGGACTGAACGCAACAGAGTTTAAGGAGGTTAAGGCAGGCACAGCAAAACAGCCTCAGTCGACAAGGCCTCGCTCGCTCAGCGCGCGGAACACGACTTTGATCCTCTTCCTGTGTGCGGACGCGGCAACGCTTGACAAATTGAAAATAAAAGTCGTTCGAAGAAACAAGGGAGAATGAAAGAAGACCAAGGCGGGAAGAGGGGTGGGAGGGGGTGAAGAAAAGAAAAGTAGCAAAAGGGACAAAGGTAGGGGGTGAAGTGGACAAGATCATTCTTAAATTGCTATTGATTGCAAACATTCTGTTCTGGGCGCCGTGGTGAACGGAGCCACTGCGTAAATATAACTAAATCTAGATTCTAGATCTAGCAGTGAATTATAGGGTAGAACAAGTGGAACTTCTGTCAAACTCATTATAACCAACCTGTATGCTCAGAAGCATCATTTTCAAGATCGATTAGTAGCTGTTCTTCATCTTCATCTGAATAGTCTTCTTCGTCCCAGGCTTCGTCAAACGTTTGGAGAGCGACTTGAAGTTTCTCCTCATCTTCTTGAAGTGCATTTCTTTCACTAAATGAATCAAATGACTTGGACATGCTTGCATGCTAGCTATAAGCAGGTAGTCTAAGTCAGTTCGTAGAGTCCTTACAGAAACTCGTCAATGAGAAACTAAGCTTCGTTGACCATTTTAAAGTTGGCAAAGAAAATTTATAAATCGTTTCGTTTCTCACTGGGTACTGTTTTTTTCTGCGGGAGTTACTGTTCTTCGTGACCAATGTCCGGATGTTTACGCCAGTTACCGTACAACAAGATCTGTCTGCTAGATTTCGGGATGTGCATGTTGCGATGAGTAAGTGTTTAGATTGATCTCTTTTTTCCCCTTCATTTTACCAAATGCAGCCTTTAGCTGTCATACTAACGGCAGATTTTACTGTACCATTTATTCTGTCGGTAGCGTATGCGTTTAGATCTCTAGATGAAAACAAAAGTGTCTAGATCTATCTTCTAAAGTTCTTACCTGCTCTCTTCCTTTTGTGACAGTAAAAAACAACAATGATGATGGTGGTGACTAAAATGATGTCAATGATGAAAGAAAAATTTAGCCTAAATCGAAATCTTGTCCACACTTTGACTCAAGTTCAGACTCAATGGTAGTGATTTTCTTGATTGTATACCATACTTAATTCATGTTCTTTGTTTAGAGCCAGTCTTGATTAACCTAATTTTCAAGTTTAACGAAAGAAAATTATTTAGAGATCTAGATCTAGATCTAGATCTAGATTATAGATTTAGAAATCTTGATTCTAGTCACTAAACTGCTCTAACTCTCGCCTAGATCTAGAAGGCTTCTTCATCATCATAGTCATCATCCCAATAAAAGCAGAGTTACAAAGATTTGGATAGGCCTAGGTAATCAACAAGAATTTTCGGTGATAGAATTGCTCAATGTTTCACGATTCACTGCGTATATAGGGCTTCCTTAGGAATATAATTTGGCTAATTTTCACAAAAAAGAGGAAAAAAACTAAATGAGCGAGCCTTTGCTTATAAGTGAAATTACAAGATTAAACAGTGTTTGAAGGAGCATAAGAAGGAAGATGGGACTGAATATATTTGAGGCTCGGGAAAGAATGAACAATACTAGATCTACTCTACGTAGTATTAGGGCCAATGGATGTTTTATTATTATTATATTATCACCATTAACATGATCATCATTATTAGTTACTATTGATTATTATTATTATTATCATTATTATTATTATTATTATTATTATTATTATTATTATGATTATTGGAATATATTGTGGGAGCTCTCGTGGCCTAGAGGTTAAGGCCTCTCATTCAAAAGTCCCGGGTTTGAATCCGGGTAGCAACCAAAAAATTTTCTTCTCTAAAATTGTCTCCTTTCTCCTCCTTTCTCCTCCTTTCCTGCTCTGTAGCAATGTTCTGTTGTCTGCTTTCGTCTCCTCTTTCTGCCCCCATCCCCTCACCTCCTTTGCCCCCTCCTCTGGGCTCCTGACTCTTTCTGCAGCCTTATCTACTGCTACTCCTTGGCTCCTTTTTACTGCTGTCTTTCAGCCTCACCCCTGATCTTCTGGTAGGAAAGGTCTACCCATAGCCTTCTCGGACAAGGGCGAAAAATCTCAGAGGGCCTGTGTGCAAGTTGCGCACGTTAAAGATCCCTTGATGGTCTAAAATCGATAAGAGTAGGCTTCAGTCGCCACCCGGGAAAATATTCAAAATTTCCACCAACTGAAAATATTAGATGTGTTCCGTGTGCATGACCTATGCAGTTGCGAGCACCGTAAAACACTTACCCCCCCCTCCCCAAGAAAAGAATATGTTGTTAATATTATCATTGTTATTTGAAATTTTTGTAAGCTTACACCTCAGTGTTTTTTTATAGGCCTATCTGAAATAGGATGTCTTCTGTATTAGTTATTTATAAATCAATCAGATTAATCAATAATAAGAGAAAAACTGGGTATGGCTTATGATAAATAATGAATAATGAATGGGCTTACATATTTCAGTATTTCTTGTTTAAATTGCTGGTGTTGTATGACTTGAACCTAGTCCTGACAGGCAAGGTCAAAGCACTCATCTCCAAAATGATTTAAATTGTTGCAATTGGGGTGTCAGTTAATCATTTACAATTTATGATAGCACGACTAGTCAATAAATTTCTTTGCGTTTTTGTATTTTATTTCAGTTGTACTATTTGCTACATTTTTAAAAAAATGGTTACTATATAATGTATATATTTATATACATATATATATACATGTTGCTTTTTGTTGAAAAAAAAAATTACGATACTGTGATCTGTGTCTAAGAACTAATTGCGTAACAACCTGGTCGGTTTAAAATCCCACCTCTACAATTAAAACTGAATTTTTAAAACCTGTTATTCGCATGACTTAGAACCCGTTTTGAGTTACTTTTTAAAATGCCATGCTTTACGATACTCTGCGCGTGTAAAGAGGTCCCTTTCAAGGCTTTCCCAGTCCATAAACTTTAACATTGTGTCGATGGCCTAGTGGTTAGGCTTTTGAACTTGCAACTGTAAGGTTGTGGGTTCAAATCTCGTCAGGGACCCGATGTTGTGTCCTTGGAAAAGTGTGGGCACTTTCATCAATGGGTCAAATATTTCCTCATAGAATAAACAAAGGAAGTTATTCCGTATCACCTATGGTGTGTCCCTCAATATCTGAAAAAAAAACCCCACGTCTTTTTTGCCCCTCACAATATTTATCCAGTTTTGGTTTCGTCGTTGTAATCCAAAGATGACCAGAAATGGGAGATGTTAACCCAGACGTGGGAACCACCTCAAAAGCTGACACCCAGGAGGAGACCAGGTTTGAGAATGAAGCCAAGGACGGTGATCTGTCGGAGTTTGGAAAGGCAGGATCCACGTCTTCTCTGCTAGATGCAGTGTCAGTGTACGACATTTTCGTATCTTACTCGAGTGATAGCTCTGACGTTCCTCGAGAGTTTGAGACGGTTCTTAGACAAAATCACCCAGACCTGACGGTATACTGTGATGGTGATGATTCCAAGACAGGTAAACAAATTTTTTACATTTGTAGATTTAAAATGGCAGTGAACCTTAAAAAAAAGAAAGCTAGAGAGATAAACGTATTCATTATTCCCTCCCACACTATACAATACTTATGTTCTTTTCAGATTGCAACAGTGCTGAACCTGAAAAGTAAGTGTCTTGAGATATATCCGATGGACCTAAGTGATTGTCTTGAAATTTTTTAAATTGTCTTTTTTATGTTATCCTTTTTCCACTGAAGGCATTGAAGGCATGTCTTACTATTGGCTTTGTTTTTCTAGCAATTGACGC